ACAGCTCACAGCAACCTCCAACTCCTGGGCTCAAGCGAGTCTCCTGCCTCAGCCTCCCAAGTAGCTGGGACTACAGGCGCCCGCCACACCGCCCGGCCATTTTTTGGTTGCAGCCATCATTGTTGTTTGGCAGGCCGGGCTGGGGATTCGAACCCGCCACCTTAGATGTATGTGGCTGGCGCCTTAGCCACTTGAGCCACAGGCGCCGAGCCAGCTTGCACCCTTTTGGGAAACTGAGGCAGGAGAATCACTTGAGTTTGAGGTGAAAGTGAGCTGTGATGGCTAGGTGCCCATAGCTCAGTGGTTGGGGCATCGACCACATGTACCTGGGCTGGTGGGTTTGAACCCAGCCCCGGCCTGCTAAACAACGACAAAAACAACAATAAAAAATAGGCAAGCGTTGTGGAGGGTGCCTGTAGTCCCAGCTACTTGGGAGGCTGAGGCAAGAGAATCTCTTAAGCCCAAGAGTTTGAGGTTGCTGTGAGCTGTGACACCATAGCACTCTACCAAGGGTAACTTAGGGAGGCTTGGTCCCCCCCCCAAAAAAAAGAAAAAGTGAGCTGAGATGATGCCAACTGCACTCTAGCTGGGGTGATAGAGCCAGACCTTATCTCAAAAACAAAAAAAGAAGAAAAGAAAAATGAAAATGGAATGGGTAAAGGCCAGGCGCAGTGGCTCACCTGTAATCCTAGCACTCTGGGAGTCTGAGGCAGATGGCTTGCCAGAGCTCATGAATTCAAGGCCAGCCTGAGCTAGAGGGAGACCCTGTCTCTAAAAAACTCTAAAAATAGTGGTCATTGTGGCTGGCACCTATAGTCCCAGCTACTCAGGAGACTGAGGCAAGAGAATTGCTTGAGCCCAGGAGTGTGAGGTTGCAGTGAGCTCTGACTCCATGGCACTCCAGTGAGGGCTACAAGTGAGACTCTGTCTAGCAAAAAAACAAAAGATGGGTGATAAAACAATTACATTTTTCTTTCAAATTAGCAAAGATGAAAAAGTTTAACAACTTTTGAAGTCTGAGCAATTTTGATCACGATTTGGAAAAACAGATGCTCAAAATTGTGTTGATAAGACTCTAAGCAGTGTAAACTTTCAGGAGGACAGTTTGGCAGTTACTAAAATTTAAAATGTACATAGTCCCTGACTCAGTAATTCTTACAGATCTATGCAAGTATACAAAGAAAAATGTATGTGGATGTTTACTACAGCACTATGTAAGATAGGGGAAAAAACTCTGGAAATTACATGTCTATGAATAGGGAACCTTTTTTTTATTTTATGGATAGGGAACTTTTTGTATAAATCATGGTATGTCATTCAATAGAACACTATGTCACTGTTTAAAATGTGTTTACTGTATATGTTCTAGAGTAGGAAAATGCACTAATTGTATTATCGAAAAAGGTAGGTTGCAGAACAGTCCATGTGGAATGATTTTATTATATATGGTGATAAATGTATGTGTGTTTGTGTACATGCCTGACAATGATTAGAACATTGCTAGAATTTTTTTTTTTTTTTTTTGAGACAGAGC